CCTGCTGTGTTGAATACTTAAATACATATATATGAATAAACGGTGCTGGATGATATATAGAATCCAATTTCATGGTCTACTTTGTTTTGTGATTTTATATAATCTCTAGACCTTCATGATCAGTTATGATCGACTGAGAGTTCTTTTTGCTTAGGAATGGCACAGCACCAAAAAGAGAGTATTCATCTGTTGTGACTCTAAGAATACTTTTCAGCATTTTGGGTGTTGTCATGCTTGGAACTTTGGTGTACACTATTGTCACCGATGGTTCTCCTTTCCGTATAGAGCTTCTAACTCCGTAAGTGCTTCATATTTATTATGGTTAGCATCATTTGATGTTTTAATCCTTATATTGTCAACATAAGAATGATTGAACCTTGCTATATAAGCTGCAAGAATGAGGAAATCATATTCTTGTGCTTTTTGTGAGATGGAACATTTTTTCCCATCACAGTACCTAACTTTGTTTTTCTTGTTTAATAAGGAAAAGTTATATAATTGCATTATCATTTATTTGTGCCATGACTTCTCTATACTTGACTAAATTATTACTTCCAACTAGTTGTCTATGCCTTAATTCTCTTTTTGGTAAATTTTGCCTCTCATTGTGATGTAATGGCTTCAATTTGAGTGAAATTTATCATAATGCAACGAGAACCTTCTCAGGCCTTAGAAAAAACAGTTTTTAAAGAGGCTGAGGATAAATATCCATGATGCGTGGATAAATGATGACATTCTTCATCGTTTGACTTTGGTGCCAAATGTATAGCTGTTAGCATTAACATGATCTCAGTAAAATCTAAATACAGATAATAAAGCACCAACAAATTACCTGCTCATGTTATAAGCAATGTACCTGTTGGTAAACATTTGAAAGCTTAAGCACAGAGTGCAGTGTGAACCACATTGATTTTAAAAGTTGCAGTGTGTTTTAGTCTTCATTTTCCTAACTAAATATTCATCAAGACCAAAGCATGTACTTTCTGTGTCTCATTCAAGTATGTATTTACAACTTTGCATTTGCATGCTCATGTGATGTGAGTAAATTTTCTCAAAAATTTCAGTTTGTCCCATTTATTTTTCTTTTAAGTGAATATCATAAGCTCCAAAATGTTTGCAGGTGGTTGTCAGCAACACTAGTTGACTTCTACATCAACGTTGTGGCTCTAGCAGTATGTCACTATGTCTACATTTTTTCCTATTCGCATCTCAAAATCATACCAAATATATATTTATTTTATAACTTGAAGTACTAAGGTTGAAGGAGGCAAAACAATTTTGAATAGGGTTTTGCATTGATATGCTTGGAATCACAATTTTTATAATAGAAAGTCTAAAATTTTAAGAGTGGAATTTCATTGGTGAAAAATAGAGATTTGTTAAAATGACATGTCACTCATAAAGTTCTGGCTGGTTATAAGCATTTATGGCCCTTTAAAGTTAAAGCAGGTGTATTCTCAATGTTTACTTAAACAAATTTTGTTCTAGAGTAGAGAATTAGTCTCAGACATGTTAAACGACTCTTAATTATTATCACACTTTCAAGGGCACCCTATTGGTGTTAGTGTTACATTCTTTTATGTCATATTCAAGTTAATTGGTTTCACTCATGCAGAGTATTTAATTATCAAACTTTTCAAATCGTTATTTGATTTTCTGTTATCCTTAACGAAAGACCGAGAGAGTATGATGCTCGCTAAACTATTCTGTTCACTATAGTAAGACGGGGCAAGATGCAAGAGAATGTAAGGAAGTGATCCTTCTTCCTTCTTCTGGAAACCTTAAATTAATTGTGGGAAAAGATATTTGTTTTGATTTCCTAATTCAAGGCCATTTGATTCTGTAAAATTATGTGCAGTGGGGTTTCTACTTGGGTGGGTCATTTAAAGCATTAATACACCATATACATATGTGCTGTTTGTTCATGGTTAAGAAACTTAAAGTTGCTTGTAAGATTCACACTTTGAATGCTGTACTCAAGCCAGGGTCAGCATTGACCATGGCTCACAGGAATAACTTCTATAACAGCAACACCTTCCATATATTCTAAAATTCATGATGAGTGTGACTAGAGAGTGATGCCCTGAGGAGTAGTCAGGCCGTTCCGTTGAGAATCTTTCTTGTTTTCTACCAAAGAGATTAACTGCCTTAGTCCTCTGTTTCATTGCTTACTCGCAGCTTTTAGAAAAATGTGTTTCCTCCTCCTTTTAATCTTAAACAGTGTCTCAATGAGGGCCACCTTCCTGCCTTCAGTCACCATTATGAATTGGGAGTGATTGTATGAGTTTTAACAGAATATAACATGGATTGAGATCCTAAATGAGATGTTTCTGTATAGGAACCAATGATTCTGCCGGGCTAGGGATGTCAACAAGCTGGAGATTCTAAAAATTCTTCCTCCCTGAACTAAAACTTAATTCTGATAAAATATATCGACACACTTACATTAAACAGGTTAAAGAAGTCATTTGAATGTTCTCATCTGTTCCTAGCTGATAAGATGTGTTGAAAAATTTAGAAAAAGAAAATAAATAATTTTCCTTGACAAAGTAAAACCCAGATATTAAAAAAATTAAGATTGTGTAATCTAAGGGTTTAGGACAGATGGAAACCTGGTAAATTCAGATAAGAAATTATAAATCATGTAATGGCTTTACCCAGACAAGCCAACCATATATGGCTGTATTAGAGAAATATGCAATAACAAGTGCATTCTGGAGCTATGGCAGAAAGATTTTAATAATTTAAGGAATAGTGGTTTTTCATTGTCAATAGTTGTGAAAATGATCTATTTGATCACTGACCACTAATCAATGTAAGATAATCAAAGTCAAAATATTTATAAATGCAAGGTTATGGTCAATTATGTATTGCTGAGTTTAATTTCAGTACACTTGTTTTGTCTCAATTTATGTATCCTAACTATTCATACGATATCAGGTCTGGGTTGCCTACAAAGAATCTTGCTGGGTTTCTGCAGTCCTTTGGATAATTCTATTGATATGTTTTGGAAGGTTTGTTCTCACAATTTTAATTTTGCTTATTGGTTGGTGATTAAAACTAGTTATTATTGGAAGCACCTTTATCAACCATTTTAACTAATTTTAGTTTTATGACAATTCCAATTTCCAATGAAATTTAATTTTCAACTATACATGGATTTGGATATCAAATTTTATTCTGTCAAGAGGAAATGATGCATAATTTATATATTATAATCAAAATGTGATCATACTCTGTATTAGATTATTAGTGCTTATTATTGGGACATTCCAGAAAATGCATAAAAGAAGAAAAGGCTGATTTATATTTTTCCTGC